TAAATCTAAACAAGATCGGTCGCCATTGTTATAGTGAAAAATGAAGCTTTTTTTGCGGGACTTTTGTTTGCTTTCTTCATCGCTGAGATTTGAGAACAACTGAAATAATTTCGCGCCTACTTGCACAACAATAATTTAATAGTGATAATTGCAATAATAATTAATATTGAAAATCTTTCCAATTACTATATACTATACGTCAAATGATGGGTATACAATATTCTTCTCTTAGCGCGTATTGATTCCTTACCTACTTCGTTTAATACCAGTTAGAGGCTGCATAGCAAAAAAAAAAAAAAAATGTTTGTTTATATAAACAAGACAAAAATGAAATAAGGTTTATAACGAATCTTTGATCACTAACCATGCCCATTATGCACTCAATATTTGTCGTGTTTGCAATAAGCGAAGAAAATGTAAAAGAAACTAAACCAAATAGAGATTAAAGGGAAAGGTAACACCTTGCTTGCATGTATATAAAATATATATAAAATGTATTATATATATATAACATATATATAATAGTATATAGCAGTATTGATCAAAGCCAAAAAACTTATCATATGTAGACCACTTCCGATGGATAATACATTACAGATTAACATTTTTTTTTTTTGTGTAGAAACTCGCGTATACCGAGAGGATAGCATAACATTACTTCATAGACGCGTGCATATAAGAAAATCATTTACTAAAACACCAAATACTATTAAGTATAAATTTTATGTATATTTACTTACGATGAAGGAATTTATAAATTATTTGACTTTTTCAACTTTGTCTTGGAGAGTGGGAGAGAGAGATAGATTGAGAGATAGATAGATAGATAGAGAGAGAGAGAGAGAGAGAGAGAGAGAGAGAGAGAGAGAGAGAGAGAGAGAAGGAAAGGAAGGCCTTAAGGCCAAATTCATGGTCATCGTGATGATTCTGCGAGGTCGATACAGAGCCGCGAATAAATTATTTCATCGGTTTTTATCGACGGTCAGGCAATAGTTTATGTAAGGGTTCTCCGATGCGTTACCAACATTGGGCAAATTTAATATACTTCCTGTATATTTGTGATTTTCTTTTCAAACCATGTTTGTTTTATGCGGAGAATTGTGCGAAGAGAGATTGGTATTATATATACATATATATATATATAGGCACTTTTATACTCCCGCTCTTTGCCTGGCATGCAAACAGGCATGAACCGTCAATATGTGATCTCAAACTATTGTATCGAATAAAAATAAACCAAAAATTGAAAGGCAACCGGTTTAAATGCTGCGTTAAATATGTTTAAAAGTATCATGGTTCATTATTATTATTATTACTATTTTTATTTTATTTATTTATTTATTTTTTTTCATACACAAATGAGGTATAAATTTAGATTTTTTTTTATTTTTTTTTTAAATATAAATTTCGATTAGGAAATTAATAATATAATCAAAATTTGGGAAATTTTCGATTTATATAAATTGAAATAAAATGCATTGCAATGAAGAGCAATCGATAGATACCAGAGCTACGCTATGAATGATAATATTTTTAAATGTAATTAAATTCGTATATAATTTTGTTGGGTATATTTTTTTTTGTTTTTTTTTTTGTTTTTTTCAGTTCACCCATATAGATGTCTGATATTCCCTTAAAGAGTCCTAATGCTTCCTGCTTTTCGTTTATTTCATGCCAAGCAAGAATAATAGGCCACCTGGTGATAATCATTTAAATACTTTTTTTTATTTTTTATTTTTTTTTTATTATATATGTAGTCGGAAATAAAGCATAATTATAATTTAATTATTTTGTGTATGAATTCACACACAACCTTTGGTTCTTCATAAACGAATTTTAATTTATTATTATTATTATTATTGTATTATTATTACTATCGCTATAAATTTTGTTGCTATTCTCTTGTATATGATATGTGAGCACATCAGCCGTTTGTTTTTTTTTTCTTTCCTTCTATTTTTTTTTTTTTTGTTTTTTTTGTGTGTAGTTTTTTTTTTTTTTTTTTTTTTTTTTTTATTCAGCCAAAAAATAATATTTGTGTTTTTTTTTTTTTTTTTTTTTTTAGCAACTTAATCTACGCACGGTTGATTTAATGCCAAGTTCATTGGACTTACAGTTCATTGTCAATTTGTTTTTTTTTGCATTTTTTTAAAATTTATTTTGTCCCGCTGGGTGTTTTAGACGCAAATGTTACGCGTGTATATTATATAATTTTAATTGAGTGCAAAGTATTAAAATTTTATTGAATTCTCTCAATAATAACCAAAAAATCTGCTTCATTATTAATAATTGTTTTCAATGAATTCCCAGAAATTGTTTTTTTTTTTTGTTTTTTTTTTGTTTTTGTTTTCTTTGTTTAAATAATCACTACTGATTACAGTTATGAATTGTGGAAGAAGTTTGAAATGTTATACACACCCACACAGCCATAGACACACACACACGTACATACATATATTGCATCTTATTGATCGTCAATTAATTACTGAACCATAAATATGCACAAACATATCTGCCATTATTTTGCATCAAACGTGTTTGCCTGTTTGTGTGTGCGTGTGCGTGTGCGTGCGTGTTTGTGTGTGTACGCGCGGTTTTGGAGTTCATTTCTTGTTACTACGATATCAATTTTATATATCTGTGTTAATAGGTTATTGTTTGGTTACGAATATGTCTTCATAATGAATATTGAAACTGACGCGAAACTGAAAAATAATCTGCATCAGATCAGGTTTATTATGAAATATCATAGATATTAAATAAATAACGCTTTTGGTACTTAATTAATTTACAATTTGTAAAGCCTTACAGCTAAATGAATCCCGCAACGGTTTTGAGGAACAACTTCGCCTAACTCAGTGTAAGATTTTCAATCGTTCTAGCCTTCTACGGCTATCTGTTGCTTCTTAGCTAATAATTACAGGGCTTACAGTATTTGAGAATGAGGATGATTGAGCAAAATATTACAAATTGATTTCGTTGGACCAATAAAAGTCACTTATTACTCAGGGGATTTTCCATATATGACATGTATGCACACAGTGATGATGAAGGAGCAAGAGGTGCAAAAAGCGGTCAAGAAATAAGGTGAAGGAAGAGTATTGATCGATCTTTAAGTGTCAACTACGCTTTTACCGATCAAGCATTTTCTCAACTTTCAATTCTAATTAAACCAACATCTTACGCACAGAGTATTAAATCCGGCTATGCTAACTTGAAAGTCGCGCTTTTTGTTCATTTAGGCTCGGAGTAGCCCGAACCCATTATAGGTAAAGATACCGTTTAAATTGTCAGAATGGGCGAAATACGCCCTAATATATAAGAGATATTTGACTAGAAAATTCAAATAAAAATATTCAACGGTCGATCAACTGATTCGACGACGACAATTAAGAAAATACTTTATATTTGTTGTATATTTGCTTGAGGCAACAACCTAAGTTTATGTTTTTGTTTGAGGTATTGTTGGTCAGAGGATTTCTCGCCTTCTTAATTTTAGATGGTCCTCAATGTTCATTCATTACCCATCCTATTCTTATTGACCATATTAGTCCTTTGTTTGGCTTTGTTCATTTCGTTCGAGCAACTGCTATGAATTGCTCAACTATTCTGATCATCATCCTTCAACAAATGCAGATTTTACTCTTTTAAGTAGATCAATAAAGACTACGCCTAATGTAATTGCGTAAAAATAGTCTCCCGGAATGTTTCTAACTATCTTTTTTTTCATGCTTCACATAAGTCTCGTCTCGTCAAAACGGAATGCCTAAGCCAGATTACAAAGCAAGCCCATATAACTTCGAACGCATTAAAGCAATGTATGTCAATTTTTTCTTGTTTTTTCAATTTCAACAAGATCAACTGATCATCTGATCATCTTTTTTTTGCTTGAAAAAGTCTTGAAAAATATCACTTTGGATATGTTAGTCGTTCATGCTGATTCAAATTCACAAGCAAAATATATTTTAGAACAACATTGAATTTAGGAAATTATGTTAAAGAATTTTCTATTGTGCACTTGTGTGTGTTTTAGAAATCTGAAAATTTTTTTTTTTTAATTTTTTAAAAAGACATCAAAAGTAGATGCAACTTTTCCGCTTTCTATCCTGAGCATCCTCTTCTTAATGATTGAAATCTTTTCGTTTTTTCTACTTTTTAGATTTGGCAATATCGGCGATTATATGTAAGACAATAATTTTGGCAATCCGGTTTTGGACCGGTTTTAAGCGATGCACCCAAAAAATGGGTTATTTTGGCAATTCACCCTACTATTGGTAGCTTTCTCATTTTACCATCGGGCCAATAGTCGTGAGTCACAATTACGCATAGGCAAAGCGCTCAACGTGTTTATGCGTTTTGGCTATTTGGGTATATCGATGCGAGTGATACCCTACAACGATACCACCGAAGATGTTAGATGGCTTTTCAAGGAACCCACTAGAAATGTTTATAAAGTAAATTATTCGCCGACCATAATTAATGCATGTTTTGTTGTGTATGTATTTGTGCAATAATCCGTTTTTTTTTTTTTATACAGAATATTACACACTTGGCTGAGACGCAAGAGCAAAATACTCCCGGTATTTTTCATGGTGATTTTCATATGGAATTTTGTGATAATCGCCGGCAGTTATATCAGGCATATTTTCGCGATTTTACCATAGAACGTTTAGATAGGCCATGGGAGGCATTTACCGGTGGTTGGTTTCCTGATAATGCCGCTAAGAAATTGGGTATCAATACTTCATTTATACAGGGCGATTATTCGTATGTGTTAGTACGCGTCGTACGCTTTAGAGAAACGGGAAAATTTAAAACTGAACTACCTGCCAGTTTAACATTGGAAAGTGACGTTAAAGAACGTATTCAAAACATTATAGCCGGTAATGTTACTACGGCAGTTAAATTCTTTGAAAATGTCGGTACACACTACATTAACTCATATACTACCGGCAATTCCCTATATCAGGTAAAATTCAAAGAAAAAAAATGAAAAAAAAAAATCTTTAATTAAATTAAATTAAATTTTGTTGTCTTTTTTTAGGTTTTCGTTTACAGCCGCAAAAATTATCAAATGATTAAAGAACGCATTAAAACTAAAGGCATTAATGGTCTTTCTAAACAAGATCTCTATCGCTTTTTTGCACCCTGGTTTGCCGAGCATCTCGGTCAGATACGTTCGGCGAGCGCCAATACCACCGTGGAACGTTGGGCTCGTCGTAAACTGCAATATGAATATTTGCTGGTTAAATATGTTACATTGCTCAAGTTGCATGGTAACGGTACTCTATTACGTACTTTAGATAATCTCTTAGGTAACGATGCAATCTTACAGTTAGATTTAAAGTCATTAAATATCATTTTTCGCAATGAGCCTGAAAAGCAAAATTGGTTTCACGAAGTACTCGATAATCATATGAAATTGTGGGAAGCAAATATGCCACAAAACTGATTCAATAACCGTTTGTCGCAACAATTCCTAATAACGTATTGAAAAGAAAATGGCGGCTACCACCAATAGTTTAAAAAAAAAAAACAAAAAAAGGAAAATAATAATAAAATAATTGAAAAAGAAGGAATCTACGAGATTTTCAAGAAAGATTACAAAGCATAGAAAGTGGCTTACATCTATCTTACCTGTACATATGCTAAGCAGCAGCAGCAGCAGCAGCAGCATCAGCAGCAGCGGATTCACTATATTGCTCTTTTTATGTCTTGCTAAATGCCGTAGCACACAATAATCTAAACATTTGTTCGCTTTGAGCTATCGCTTTTATGGAAAGCACTTACTATAGTTTAGTTGTCTGTTAATTAGAAGAAATTTAAGTAAAATAATTTAATTAATATTCGAAACCTGTGATAGTTTTTTAGAGCATTATGATGTATGTATGTAAGAAAGTGATTATTTTAAGAACTATTAAGGCTTTGTCGGCGATTATGTTTAAAAGAAAAGCTCATTTAATATTTGTATAGAATGATTGTCTCGACTTAGTATATCATCTTTTTTTATTATTTTCTTCTTTATTCTGTTTTTTTTTTTCAATAATTGTTTAGAGTATAAATGGCGTAAATGGCTTGCAATTAAGTCGTATAAAGTAAATATATAATTTTTTCTAAGAATACATATAACAAAAACGATTTCTCATTATTTTATGTTTATATAAAAGTACCCAACAAGTACACACAAACAACGGAACGATAACTTTAACTTAACGCTTTCTTGTCTCATCTGGACGAATCTAGATTCAATGTAAATGTTTTGGAATTCATGGCGCGATTGCATGCTGAGCATCAGATATTTTGCAGAATATATATGAAGTAAAAGAGGTCGAAAAGATTTAAATTTACTACCTTTTTGAACTGTTATGGGGAAGTGACATTTGATGCATAAAAACATCGAAGCTTTCATATACGTTGCTTGTACATACGTTAATTAAGTATTGAAAATGCCTGAACGAGATCATGACTCTTCTACTGTTGTTTTGCACGGTCAGAATCAATCATCTATATTACGTAAGCAAACCGTAACCAAACTAAAAGAGATAAACGGAATCGAACGATCTCTTCAAGCACAAGTAACAAATAAGGGCGGTATACTTTTCGAGAATGCTGTTCGCCCGCGACTGCGGAGGGATTACGGTACCGCACGATTTTGACAAAGTTTTTCGGTTCTAAAGCGGCACCATAATGCACCTGAAAAAATGGTTGCTTTGCGTAAAACATTTCAAATGTCCCAACTAGCTGTAAAAGTGCCTATATATGTAGTAGTTCTTGAGTTATCTGTTGTCGATGTTTTTGAAGCTTCTAAAGCTTATACGCTTCCATATTTTTGAATTAAATCTATAGATTCTGCTCATTATGGCCAAGAAACATGAACGATTTTGAAACTAACTATATGATGCCGTTTTACAATTCATGAGGTTTTCAATATATACTTGGAAGATACCAGATTAAGCTTTATTAACTTCATTCGTACTGAAAATATTGAGTTCGCCAATAGATTCCGTGAGGCTTTTTCATTTAAAATTGATATAGTGCCAATAAGGGATTTCTTAAAACAGCGAACTGTAGACAGCTTTGCCTATGTCTGACAGTCCGGCATTCTTCTATCTTGCGTCAGCTATAAAATAGTAAAACAAAGCAACAAGTTTGCATATTTCGGAAATGAATAAAAGAGACGATTTAATTATCTTTACCAAATTTTTATATATATTGCAATACTATAATATGATGAATGCATGCTTAGTCGAATTGAAGTCAATAAAATGGAGATTATCTTATGAACTTGAATTTGCAAGCATTCATTACGTTGATGAAATGTACATTTTTGGTCAGAGATTGCAGACTTACGACCGAAAGACGTCTAAGGCATTTTCAGATGCAGTTTAGAAGAAAGTTTGCCGTACGCAATAATTCCCTTGTAAGGCAAGGCTTGGTAGCTTTTGCTCTCCTATCATCTCCTCTAGATGTTTAGTGTTTTGGAATATACACGAACTAAACTTATTTATTTAATTTTACAAGTTATCCGCCTTAGTTGCAAGAGTCTCGACTTTTAACTCAATGTCGTGGGTTCAAATCTCACGTGCGGTAGAGTTTTTTTTTTTTTGATGCTAGCGCTTTAAGTGAAAAGAATTTATTATTTTACAAGTTAGTCTAAAAGTAAACCGCCATAATTTTTTTATCAAATTAAACAAAGCACAACTGAGTAATCTGTTAAAAAAGAAAAGCACATCTGAATAATCTGTTAAATTGCAGCTTTTTAATTGGAATAATCTGTTAAGCCAGCTTTTTAAATGAAAGAATCTGTTAAGCCAGCTTTTTAAATGAAAGAATTAGAATGAAGAAGAAGTTATTAAGTTATTTGCCACCACTGTAACATTAACACACAAGTCAATAACGCAGTTCAAATATTAAGCAAAACAAGCTAAACGACATCTACAGTAGGTTCCAAGCAACTACATGTACGATAGATGTCTTTGCTTATGTCTAGCAAAAATGTATTTAGAAAAAACCTAATAAATACCACCAGATGGCTGGCTCTGAAAACCATATCGCAACTAACAATTTTTTTAATTACATATCAACATAAAAATATATTAAATTCTATATTCTAACAGTAAGTTAAGTCTGTAAAGTTAAAGTACTACGTCGCTAAATAATTCATTGATTTGACGAATATAATCGAACGTGAAAAGCCTCTTCGATTCTGTACATGCAGTCGCCAATTTCTGCGCATATCGGATCAGATCACACTCTCAACTTTCATATGTATCCTACGTATTATTCGTGGCAATAATTTCAGGAAATAAATAAAAGTCTTTCGTTGACTATCGAGCGATGCTCCGAAATGCATTTTGGATTCAAGTTTACTTTATTATCCTTTCAACACATGTTTTTTCCTTCGTCTATGCGTTCGAACTCAAAAAGTTCTAAAATGGACATTTTCAAAGCCGTCTTGCTTATATTCAACTTCAATAATGCGAACTACGCGCTAATAAATATGAATGCTTTAGCTACAAAAAAAAGGTCAATCGATTCAGAAAAGACTTTAGAAATCTTTGAAAATTTCAGCTGGCAAACGTGAGGATACATGATTTACTTATGTTATACATTCGCATTATAAGTCCATCTACATCGGATATACGCAATAATCGGGAGATTTTCACTCGGCTCAGTTAAGTTCCTATGTCGATTCCTTCCACCTCGGCCTTTCCAAATTTCAAAAATTAAAATTTCGATTTAGAATTTGGCCTTTTTGTGCTTTTACTTGACGGCTGTAAAGTAAGTTTAGGCAAATAAGTAAATGCCAATATGTACCAATCTTTTAGGAGATGTCTCCCGTATGTATAACACATTGCCGATCAGAAAGAAGCGGGAAAGATGAAAGACATTAGTCGTCGCCTAGTGGACTTATTATGCCTTCATCGACTTAGTACTCACTTTAATTACGACCAAGTAGAAGTACGGAGTGAGAACGGTCTTGGTCGTTCCATTGATACGCAAACAATTGTCAAAAATGTGCTAAAGGGGACACGTGGTCAAGGTTTATAGCAAGTTTATGCGCGATGAGCTTAACGTTTTCTATGCGTATAGATAGGGTTCTAGGTCCCATAAAGTGTATTTTGATGAATACTGAAATCGATTTCGTCATGCTTTTCTGCCCGTTGAAATCTTTTATGATTTGAAGCTTGTTTGCAACGATAAAGTGATTTTTGCTTAATTTGGTCCTCATATTGTAGAGGCAAAATTCAACCCAAAGTAAAGTCTTTATATCCTCTTCGTGAACAGCGTAAAGCGAGTTGAGGCTTCGTCAAGTATTATTCAAAAACCCGTATAGTATGAAATGTGCAAAGTAGGCTATGTAGAGTCAGTTCCCCTTTGGTTTAGCTATCTACGAAGTGCTATCAAATCGTGCAAAACTATCGTCTAAAATATATACGATACACGATCAGTGCATCTAGTAACTGATCTATATTCTTTCTTTCTCTCTCTCTCTTTCTCTTTTGTCATTTTTATTGTCTCTTAGTAAAATTGTTTAAACAATATTTGCAGTTGTAATGTTAAGATATAACTATTTTTATCGGCCTATTTCATTACCCTGACATGACTCTACAGGATTTGAAATGTAATTAAAATTTTCTTCATATTGAATTAATTATTATTCCAAGTAAATATCGATGTTTGAGAAACATTTTCATAAGGAAGAGATTCGTAAGGATTTACTTTGTCGTATTTGATAGCATAGGTCAGGGACATCAAAAGGTTTTTTCCTCATTACATGTTAGGTTTAAAAGTAAATTTATTTAAATTTCTTACTGACTAATGTAATCATGAAGCATATAACATAAGGATTGCTACCATTAACATTATCAGTCAATCAAACGTATACGCATAAGTTTACATAGATGTATAAATTGTAGATATGCTAGGGGGAGGAAAGGAAGAGAGAAGTTGACACGCGTCAAACAGACAGCCGCAACAACGTTCCCCCTATTTTATAATAGATATTTTTCCGACACACCTTTATTGCACCAACAAGCATGTATGAGAAGATTTTCATTCCTTTTGAATTTATAAAATATTTTGCCATCAATCATTTTATATAGTAAAAGGAAGCAATAGCACAATATATTGACAATCATTTCATATTGTATGTATCAGTAATATAACCACAACGATAACAACAACAACAACAACAACAACAACAACAATAACAACAAACAGAAAACAGTAACAATGTCCATCTTATCGTTATCACTAGTGGCAGTGAATATTAACAGAGTTTATAGAACAAAACGGAAAAGAGCGATTATGAAAATGTAAAGTTAAAAAAGAAAAAAAAAAAATTAAATTAAAATACCCGCAAGCGTGCAGTTACCTCATTTCATTAAACTGTATATATATATTTAGAGTAACGCATCACTTCAGATGACTGCTGGCAGTCACTTGTGGGACCTTTCAAGTGTCTCGTTGCATAATGTTCAAGAAATCATTTAATAATGTTAACGTAATAATGATGAAATTGATAATGACGATGACAATGATCATGATCATGATGATGATGATGGTGTCATAACAACTTAACATTCCTCTAATGATTGTTTTGGAAAATTTCTTTTTCTATTAATTTTTTTTTATTATTTATTTATTTTTTTTTTCTTAAATTTTTGTTCGTTAAAACGCTTAAAATTGAACAAAGATGTCTTACTCATGTTTTCGCAGGGAAATTTTTACTTATTAAAAATTCTACTTAATACCTTTAAACTATGATTTAAAGTCATTAACTAATCTCTTATGTTTATGTTAGACAATCGTGTTTTGTGTGAATATTTCAAATGCACTTTGTTGTTGATTTTATCCTTTGAATATCCTTTGACTTTTTTTTATTCTGCATTGTAAAGAAAAGATCTTTTAAAGAATTATTCTTTGACTTTATGTAATTAGTGATTTTAACTTATGTTAAATGTCTGCCACTAAGACAAAATGTAAATAAATATTGAAATATTTTTTTCATTTTTTTTTTTTATTTTTTTATATTTTTATTCTTAAATGTTTAATGTGTAATGAAATCTGCTGATTAGAACTTAGTGCACGCTCGGCTATGTCTACAC